AGAAGGTCTGGGCTCCTGGCTTTGTTCTGACCCAGCCACAGTGGTTGCAGTCATCTGGGCAATGAACCAGCAGCAGATGGGAACTCGTGTTTTTTCTCCATGCCTCTTTTATTCTATGACTTTGTGTTTCCAGGAAATAAAAAAATACATCTTTAAAAAAATGAAAAGATGTTCTTATAATTCCTACCCCTGTGACACATAGTTATGCTGCATTTCTTACCCTTGAATTACCATGAGACATCAGTGTCACTTCTATCCCCCTTTGTCAGAGTTGGATTGAATGTTTGCTTTGTACTGAAAGAGGTATGTCCAGGACATACGGTAGGGAGAAAGGTGAAATGATCCAGGGCTGGTGTTTGTGGTACATTAGGCTTGGCTTGCCACAACAGCACCTCATGTCAGAAATCCAGCTAACAGTCCCTGCTTCTCCACTTCTGATCCAGCTCCCTGCTAACATCCTGGGACAGTGGCAGAAGATGATTAGCATGTGGGCCTCTCATGGAATGAGCCAACAGATGGAAGACCCTTTCATCACATTTCTTATCCCTCTGTTATTCCGCCTGTCAAATAAATGTATAAATTTAAAAAAAAAAGGCAAAAAACAAATTAGACTAAAATTTTATGTTAAAAGGGGCCAATAATAAGACAGGGACTAAAGAATGGTTCTAATGGTATTAAAACTTAAACAGCCAAAAAAAAATTTGTAAAAGCAAAATAAAGTGAAAAAGTTCATATTAATATTAAAAACAAACTCTGGTCATTAAAAGGGGATAAATTCTGTAAGTATGAAAGGCATTCCATAGAAAGCAAACATCATCTGGATCAAGCACTAGATTTTCAAATAACTTGCCAACACATTTTCACCTCCTTATTATTTTTATGTGTTTGGAAAATAATATCAGAGTTTGACATTTTTGTAGAGGTTACCTATTTGATATAACACCTGGTGGGCAAGAAAGTCCCTAGCTGTGTAAACCCCTAGGCAATACAAATTTCTCAGCTCTGTGCAGAAGGGTTAATTACCTAACTGGGAGAATGGGTTGGAGTGCAAGAAAACAGACTCTGTATAAGGAAGTGGCCAAAGCAGATACACCCAGCAGACCACATCTGGAGTTACAGCTGTCAGCCCCTGGCTGTCCAGCCTACTGCTCCCCCTGCAGCCACATTCAATAAACCTAACTCTTCTCACTCAATTTGACTGCCCTGGTGGATTGGACCAACAGCAGAAACACAGACCCCAATCAGCTGCTTCCCATGACAATTTCCTTTTTGCAATCTCTATCTGGTGCTTCTCTCCTCCATCCCTTCTTCCCAGCTGAATTCTACTGCTATTATCCCTTATTAGTCCTGATTACATTTCCTTTGGGTTGCTGTAATACCTGTTAAGGTAATCTCTGTGGCCCTCATGTGTCTCAGTTCCAATACAAATTAATTTTTCTACAGCAGAACTCTGAATCCGTCATTGCATTACTTAAAAATTCTCAGTTATTCCAAGTAACAGTTCTTCTATGCTTATGGTACTAATCAGCTCATGTTGCTCCTTGATCTTATTAATATTCAAAAACTTCATCGTATATGCTTTCAGTCTTCTAAACCCTTACTCTCTTTTCCCACCATCTCTTCCTCCATTTGCTCTAGTCAATCTGAACTGCTTTGTTCATATAAACCTCATAATCTTCTAATTTTGTGCATTAGCTCATGCTGCTCACTTTATCTGAAATTTAGCAGACCACTTTCAGTCTAAATTCTTTTCCACTTTTGTAAGAGTAGTAGGTCTTTAGAAACAGTTGTATATTCCAATTAATAAAATAAAATCAGCATGAGTAAAGATGTAAAATCACTTTAATTACTATAAAGTCAGCAATGTTTTAGAGAAAGCATCAAAATGTGAAATTTTGACATTTCAAACAAAAATACTAGCAAGAGCAACAGCAATTCAAGCACAGACCACATGCTTGCAACATTCCTTCAAGTTCCAACTAAAATGCCATCTCATTCAAAAAATCCTGCTTTGCTCCTTAAGCCTTGTTATTGTCAAACAAATGTATCTCACTCTGAAACAGTTCAGAGCAAAACACCACATAATTTCAACATGAAGTCTGTAGTACCAAAAATCAATAAATTTGGATGTTCAATAATATCCGCATAAATTTAATTCTTAGGCTCTCAGAAAATAAAATAATACTGAGACCTTCTCTCTCTCTTACTCTTTTGTTTTTTGAGAGAGGGAGCGAGACACTATACAGAAATCTTCCATCTGCACCTTCAGTCACCAAATGCCAGAAACTACCAGAGCGGAGTTAGGCAGAAGGTGCAAACCAGGAGCTCAATCCAGGCTCCCATATGGGCGGCAGAGAATCAAGCATTCAAGCTTTATCACCTGCTGCCTCCCGAGGTATACATTAGCAGGAAGTTGGAATTCGAAAGGAAGCCAGGACTCAAACCCAGGCACTTCCAAATGGGATGCAGGCATTCACTGCCCAAAAAACCTGCCCTAAATTTCTGTTCTTTATAAATTACCCAGTTTTAAGTATTTCAGTACACGTACAAAACAGATGAGGACAGAATGAAGAAGATAATTAAAATGTATGATGACATCACACTGATGCAGCAACAGAAGTTTCTGAAAACAGTTAAAAACTGAATGAAAACTGGGTTATTAGCTTACCAGCAACTCAAGTCGGAATTTCGCAGTATAATCATTTTATCTGGAATGTCAAAACCACTAACCATAAATAGCATATAGTATATGTAACCATATTGTAAAACATAACTTCAGATTAGACATTTCAGAAAGATTAACTTGGATTTTGCAAACAAACTCAATGGGTTATCCTGCATTATAAATAACTTGTCCCTGTCTCTCTTCATTAACTTCAATGATTTTCTCTAAAAGGACATTTTAAAAAATGGTGACAATTACTATGTCAGTTAACCTCACAAAATGGTAGGAGAAACTGGTGAGTGTGCATATGGAGAAAGGGTAACAAACTAGCCTAAAGTCATAATAACAAGGAGGCATGTATCCTTATGTTACAACCTATCAGCCTTTGACAACCAAACAAAATTATCTACATATGAGTACATTTGAACAGTTGAACCTTCTTGGCAGATTAAAAAATAACACATTCCCTAGCAAATGAAAAACCAGAATCATCATTAGCAGGGAAATGATTAAAAGCAATATAAATATTTTCTTAGCGTCCATCAGCGTCTACAGAAATTCTATGCTGGTTCAAGACAATAATCATCAATGTTGGAGAGTCAACTTTCTCAATGATCCAATAAACATTTATAGAGAGTACTTACAAGATGCTCTGGATTAAGCAACATCTGTCAGGTACTACAGATACAAACGTAAATAAGCAAACAGTCTTTGCCATCACAGGATTTCAGTCTAGTTGGATGGACCAATCTGTAAGTACCTAATCACAGAACAGCCGTGGCAGCTCTGAGAGCCATGTGTGGGACTTTAGGGATCACAGAGCTGGGATGGGCCCTCCAAAAGTCTCTCAAGTGTGAACATAATAGGCTTCTCAAGTCACTGCTTGTTCAGTAACATCCATCAATGCTATCACTAACATTATCAAAAGCCTCTATACACAGCCCCAAAATGTAGCAGGTACCCCACAAAAATACTAAGCAATGGTTAATAAAAAAAAAAAAATGGAAAAAAAGTACAAATATCCACTAACCTAAACAAACAAGCTGAAGGTTTCAGGTTTTACCGGTAGATAGTGTAACCAAAGAAAGAGGAAAATACTTTAAAAAATTAAAGTACAAATTAAAAAATGTTTCCTCATATACCATTTCTATAAATTTGAATTATTCATGAATAAATCTGATAAACTGCTGCAGAACTGCACAGTCAAAAATACAACTACTTCCTACAAGGGGAGGGAAATGCACCTCATACATGACACAGTCACACTCCCTAGTCCGTTACACAAGTCCTATCACAGTGTGAAGCCAATGGGTGTACAGATTCTTAATAGGACACAACAGATGGACATAGTTAGTGAAAGATGGTTAACACTGAGGAGAAGACGCAGTTGATGACAAGCAGAAAAATGTACAATTCTCACTTGCATTTAGGTGTGGGAAACTAATTTAAAAGCTACTAGAGACGCGGGCCTTAGAATTGTAAAACAAGTTGAAAAGTCACTTCACTTTACATTAATTAAACAAACGCGTAGCACTAAAGAATTTACCTTTATTTGTAATTAACCACCAATCTGGCTTTTACAAAGAAAACAACAGGGAACTCTTCACAACCTCATACCATTAAACTAAGAAATCAGATAGAGGCAAGTAATGGGCCAATCTGACAATGACCAAAATATTGCTTAAGTAATAATGATTCAGATCTTGGAGTATACTTTATTGCAAAGATTTAAAACCAACAACATAGAAGACATGCAACAAGCAGAGATTTTGACAAGAAAATGAAACATTTAGTGCAGAAAAGGAAATCAGTTGTCTAACCCTGATAGGTATTTATTCTTTTGTCTTCCCTTCAGTCCTTGTTTCAAACTCTGAACAGTAGATCCCATTTTAAAACTGACTTTAGAATTCTAAAACACACATTCAAGTGCTGAAGAAAAGTCAATCAATCAAACAGAAAAAAGCAAAGTGAAACCAAAGGGGCAAGCTACAGAGATTAAACATGTCTTACTAGTAACATGGAAGAAGACAGACAAATCCATGAAGTGAAAAAAGACAACACACATCACAGACCTCTCAGTAATCCTACAGTCATGGTGGAATAGATTGGTACAGGCATTGAAAAAAGATTGAACTTGTGATATGATTCTTGGGCATACATCAGTATGCTATTGCTACAACTGAACACACCACCCTGTAAGGTTTTCGGACATGTACATTTATACCTCTTATTTCCAGGCTGTGAGGAAGATAAGCCTTTTTACATGACAACTTCAAAACCTTCTCTTTGAAGCACTCTGTCCTATGAACATGTCAATACCTTTGCAATTACTGCCAGAATCTCTCTTCTCTTTTGCTGTTGGAGCAATCGTCCAGTGTTAAGAGAAGGGGAGCTGCTATAGGACTGAGAAGTTACTAAACATTTCTAAACTTGAGAATAAAGGGCTGCTTATCTTACGTTTTTTAGAACAATTTCATAAAAGACAGTAGACTGAAGAGATTTTTCTTTGTGTTTTATAACTGAAGAATTATCTTTTCAAAATCAATGTAACAGAGTCTTTTCCTCCACTGCTAGGTGGTCTCTTTTCTGTCCTGCTCTTGGGGGGCTCTTCTGGCTGAGGAGAAAGAGAGCCGGAATCACAGCTGAGGTTCCAGGCACTGAGAAGGAAGATGAGGCTGTTGAGATCCCAGAGACTTTCCTCTTGAGACATCTGGAAAGTCTCAGGATTCGAAGTCCAGTTACAAACTTGATACACTGCAGTATGCATCTTTATTCCTGAATAAAAGATGAACTCCCAATGAAACTATTAAATGTATCATGACAATAGTGTGCTGGACTTTCTACCACTGTCTCTGTCTACAATGTCATGATACACTTAAATAGCAGAATGATGAACTTGTGAATTGGTGCTGAAGTACTATATTAAGGTAACACTACAGGGGAAGACAGAGCAAGGGGAATGGAGAGGGTGGAATGGGAAATTCCTGAGCCTATGGACTTACAGCCTGAAAGAAACAAACCAAAACTGCAGTGGCTGGTCCATGGAACCCAAGTCAGAGCCTGAATCTTCTCCTGGACCTGTTATTCTGCATGGGAAGTGGCACTCAAGGCTCTCAGATTGCTATATGTTGGTCTAAAAGTGGCTCCAGCTCAATGTGGGACTTGCAAGTTTTAAAAGAAGAAACTAAAATAAGTTGACATTTGTTAAAAGCCCATATATACTAAGAGGTAAAAACATATGCAATAATATATAAAACACAAAGGCCACAGTTTAAAGAAGGGAATAACAAAGAGTTGTAATTGTTACATTGTTAATGGCACAGTATGAGAAAGGCGCTTATGGGGTAGGCAAAGTTGACATTCAACTCCCATCCACTGGGAACAAATTTTCCTTTCTAAAATACTCTCTTAATCTTCAAGAATTCAAAGTCCTCCAAATCTGTACCACAAACAATGTTTTCTGACTATAAACATTCCCAGCTCAAACAGGATTTATTCATTATCCCATGATGTTATGTGCTTATGTTACTACCAGGACTATTATTCTTCCTTCTGCTCATCAGTATTATCTTTCTTTACAAACTCAAATTTGGTAGCAACATAGTGTCGTGTGTAGATCTCACACTTCAATGCCTCTAAGAAGCACCATGGGAGTGTGTTAAAAATGTAGAGCCCTGGCTGCTCTTTTTTTTTTTTTTAAGATTTATTTATTTTTATTGGAAAGTCAGATTTACAGGGAGGAGAAGAGATAAACAAGAAGATCGTTCACCTGATGATTCACTCCCCAAGTGGCCACAACTGCCATAGCTGAGCTGATGCGAAGCCTGGAGCCAGGAGCCTCTTCTGGCTCTCCCATGTGGGTGCAGGGTCCCAAGGCTTTGGTATATTCCCTATTGCTTTCCAGGCCACAAGCAAGGAGCTATACGAGAGGCAGGCCTGCCGGGGTTAGAACCAGCACCCATATGGGATCCTGGGAGTGCAAGGTGAGGACTTTAGCCACTAGGCTATTGTGCCAGGTTCAGAGTCCTGGATTCTACACCTAAGCAGTCTGACTCAGTAGGTCTGATATAGGACCTAGGAATCTCTTAAATATTTATCTGAGACAGTTTTGATGGTTGCGGTTTACATAACATTTAAAAATGTATTTTATTTGAAAGGCAAAGTAAGACAGAGGAAGAAAAGCATGGAGGGATGGAGAAGAGATGATGCACCCACTGGCTCATTCCCCCATACAGCTGTAATAGCCACAATGGGTCCAAGCCAAAGCAAAGACCATTCAACTCTCCCATGTGGATGGAGAGGCCCCAACACCTGGGCCATCATTGGCTGCTTTCTCAGGGACTTCAGCAGGGAGTTACATTGTTAAGTGGAACAGCCAGGATTTGAACCAGTGCTTATATAGAATGACAGTGGCTTAACCTACTGTATCATGACACCAACTGTAAGAATATAGATTTTTAAAAAGGAGATTTATTTTTTCATTTATTTGCAAAGCAGAGCAATACGGAGAGAAGGGACATTCATTCACTGATTTATTTATTTCCCAAATGGCTATAACAGCCAGATCTGGGTCAGCCTGAAGCCAGAACCCTGGAACCCCATTTGGGTCCCCAACATGGGTGGCAGAAGCCCTAGCACTTGGGCCATCAGTGCCTTCTCAGGCAGAGTAGCAGGAAGCTGGATGGAAAGTAGAGCAGTTAGAACTTAAATTTGTACTCTGATATGGGATGCTGGCATTGAAAGCTGCAGCTTAATCCATGTGCCACAACACTGGACTCTGAGAACATAGATACTTTTTAAAAACTGATTTGTTCATTCATTTGAAACGCAAAGTGAGGGAGGGAAAGAAGAAAGGAAGGGAGGGGGAGGAAAGTAAATCTTCCATCTGCTGATTCATTCCCCAAACAGCCAAAGCCAGGACCCTGGAACTCCAGCTGAATCTCCCATGTGGGTGGCAGGGGTACAGGCACTTGGACCATTTTCTGCTGCTTTCCCAGGTATGTTAACAGAAAGCTGGATCAGAAGTGGATCAGCCAGGACTCAAACTAGTCCTCATATAGGCCGCCAGCACTGCAGGTGGCAGCTTAACTCTGTATCCCAACACCAGCCCTGAACAAGGATTTTTAAAATCAAGACTCGTGTAGGTTTTACTAAATTAGGACTGCTACTTCTACTTTTGTTTGCCTACTGAGTCTCCCTTTTCCTTTCTACCTAACAGCAATATACCCTATGTATAACATGAGTTATAAAATGTGATTAGCAAAATACCTGCCACATAATTATTTGATTGGTGCCAAACTGTTAGCAATAATTTTTAAGTTATCTTTTCTCATTCAGGTCACCTGAGTCTGCTTAGTTCTGCAGCTATAAGGACTTAGGTTAATTAGATGCCCAATTACATGAATTAGTTACTCTCATTCACATTGAGGTGACCCAGGCTTTTCATAATTTATATCAAAGTAGAGTGGTATGTCAAAAGGCAGTGCCAAGATGATATTAACTGCATCCTGTCTACCACAAGAATTCTTGGGAAAATGGTGAAATACAACTTATTTTGGTGCTTTACCAATTTCTACAATTTTTTCACCCCAACCCTCACTTGTGATGTCTTAATTAACTACAAAGATGTTAAAAATAATAAGAAATTTGCTCATAACTCCCTAGTCATCAAGGTCCCACAGATTTGGACTTAAAGTTATACATGCTTTTTATATTTACTTGTGAATGGAGTACATTAATTTATATATATATGCAGAAAATATGTATGCAATATTTACCTTTTATCTTCTTACATTTTCAGTGTATGTTCATTAAATTTGACACACTTTTAAAGAAACTATCTAGGACGTCTCAGAAGTACTGCTGTATTATTTTCAAATATAAAGTCACATAAATGTATAAACAGCTGTCATTGACTTCCTGATTCAGTTAATAATTACTCCCATGTACTACATATGTAAAGCTGTTGGATCATCAGTCATTTAAATAATTAAAATCATTATGACACCAAAAAGGAAGCCTTAGAACCTCCAACGTTATCTTAGGGCAATATATCCCAAAGTCCCAGTAATATCATCTTGTGACCTGACGCCTGATTCAGTTTTATACAGATTATCATGAAAAACACGGACTGCTAGATATAAGAGTAACTTGAATTCACATAACTGCACAGCTGATTAACCCAAGTTCTTGGAGCTGGAGGACCATCCAGGTTCAAATGGCCTTGATGACAGGAAGTAATTTAAAAAATATTGTTAACTGGGGTCAGTATTATGGTATAACACGGAAAGCTGCTGTGATTCCAGCATCCCAAATGTGCACTGGTTTCAGTCCTAGCTACTCCACTTCTAATACAGGTCCCTGCTAGTGCACCTGGAAAAGCAGCAGAAGATGGCCCAAGTGCCTGGACTCCTGCATCCATATGAGGGACTCAGAAGAGACCCATCTTCTGTCTGGCCCACCGCTAGCAGTTGTGGCCCTCCGCAGAGTGAACCAGCAGACATAAGGTCTTTATCTTTCCCTCTAACTCTGCCTTTCAAAGAAGTAAAATAAACCTTAAAAAAAGTTATTGTCAATAATGATAAAGAGCAATTTTGCTCCTTTTCAATAAGCATTCTCATTTAATCATTTAGCCATTCAATGCTTATTTTTCTATTTATACTTTTGGTAATTCAAATGACACAATATTTTATGAAACTTATACCTTATTTTCTTTTCCTAAATTCATAACTATGCCAAAGATTTTATAAGTTTACTGGGACACAATCTCATTACAATTTCTGCAAAGATGCACAATAAATATTTTAAAATGCACAGCAAAGAACTGTCTTTGCTTTTTAGAGCAATGCTACTTTCATAACAGATTTTCCTTTCAGATTTTTAGAGAGGACACAAGTCTTCCTTCTAGGCTTTAAAGAATGGCAAGTAGAACACACCTACACCCACCCACACAATGCACATTCTGTAAAAAAAAACTAGAGATTTTCTTCCCTTTTTCCAAGAAGTTCATAATAGATATGGCAGGTCACAAGTTAAAATATGGTTGCTCAAAAAAGAAAAAAGTATTGCCAAAGCTAAGATTTAAAATGCAGCTACATTAAGCTATATAACTGTTCAGTATCTATATGCAAGTTATATATAGCTACTAACCCAATATTTTATGTAAAAATGACCTATAAGATCACATATCAATAAAGATATCAGCACTAACAAAGCATAGTTAATGCTGGGGGAAAATACTGCATGTTATGTAACTCAAATTTGTGTTTATCATAAAGCTAAATTTTATCTTTTGTCCTCCCTTTATATCCCATATCAACTTCTGGATGTACAAATACTTATGCTCTC